TGTTTTAACTTTTTTACAATATTATAAGCAGCATTCCAAGAATATTTTGGTTCATAATGGCCGGATGAAAATCACAGATTTTGGGTTGTCAAAGTCTATAGAAGCAGTCACAACATCTTTTCAGGGAGGACTTTTACCCTATGTGGATCCACAAACTTTAAATTATTTACGTCACAAGAAAAACGAAAAATCTGATATATATAGTTATGGAGTTTTGATGTGGGAAATATCTAGCGGTCAGCCACCATTTAAAGATGTGCCCCTGATTGATATTTTTCGAAACATAATTAATGGTGAACGAGAACAACCTGTCCTTGGAACTCCCGCTGAATACGTTAATATCTATTGCAAGGCCTGGGATGAAATTGAGATAAGGCGCCCGTCAATTAAACAAATTCTTTCAACTCTTGAAAACATTGATATCGAGAATTTGTATGATGGAATAAAACCGAAAATCACTTTTCCAACGTTGAATATTCCAATTATGAATATGAGTCTAGAATCTTCTCCATCAACGTCCATACGTAAGTTATAATCTAAGCTGAAACCATTTTACTGTAGCTGTATACTGTATACAGAGTATTTATAGATTAATTGTATTAATAACGAACAGAAAGAAACTTTCAAAACCTAGAAGTCCGCATGACTCCATATTTTCACCGGGATAATGATTCAAATGTTCAACCGGTAAGCATTACATCTTTAACTTGGTGCTTATTTCCTGCAAACCATTTATATAATTTTTTATTCTATCATTATAATTACAAGCCAGGGATGCCCGCCGGTGAATCAAGTTCGCGTCATATTTCTAATGCATGTCCCGTTATTTTCCGTGAATATAAAATAAATCATGGTCTTTCACAGACAGATCATCCGAGTTCTTGTAATGCGGGTTATCACGTTGGTTATGGAGACGTTAATGGCCTAAAATATCATCTTGATCGAGGAGAGAACGTCGACGATATTTATAGCTTTTCTGACACCACAGAGTCACTTGTGTTTATTGCCATC